TGTTTCTCTTCTTTGTCTACACCTTTGTTATATATAGCATCTCAGGGTGGTGGTAGAATAAGTAATAAAGCTTGGCGTGTTACTTCCTACCTTTCCATTAAATACCCATGAAGATATTAAATACCCATGAAGTTCTGCAAATTAAGAAACTAAGCATTGAAGCTTGCTAGCAAAGTCCAGGGAGAATTAATTTTATTAGCAGGACTGGGCTAAAAGCATAGTCTTGAACATCATGCTGTTTATCCTACTTTGTGAACCCAAATCAGGCCAGATATCCAAAGGGAGTAGGAAATGACTTGGACCCATGCTCACAGGAACTGAAAAATAAGCAACCATCTCACTGAGGTTAACTATAATCTGACACCTCTGGATCTGGAGTTCTCAGCCCCCTACTTACCTGCATTAGCATCTGTATTTCCAGATCTTTGCAGAGACTAAAATGTCCTAAATATAGCAAGGCAAGAAGCAAAGCAGGATTGGAAAAGGAATGTGCTATCCTGGGATTCTGAGTCCCTGTGGTAAAGTGTGGCGAAGGTAGAGGGATGGGAACAGGCTGTGCTTGGAAATGTGGTCTCCAGAATGCCATGAGGTAAACAGCTAATGGCATATGCTCTTCTGGCTTATTGAGAGAACTCTGCTCAGGCAGTTTAGCCTCAGACCAATCAACCCCAATGAGAAGGATGTGTACTAGCAAGCCAGGTTCCAAAATTGGGCTCGGGGTGCATCAGTTCATATTTGAAGGTCAAGTTGCAGCCAATGCCAGTCCTGGCAGATCTCTTTCCATCTTAGTAAGGATGAATTTTAAAGGGTGGAAAAGAGGAAACACAGAAAAGACACAGGAAGATAAAACATTGCTGTGAAGATTTAGAAGCAACACATGGTTCTGAAAATGACTTTTTCTAATGAGCAAATAAAGTTAAGACATCTGCTTAGTTTGCCAAAAGAAAGCCAGAAAGATATGACCTCTACAGAGAGTGAATAAGCTAAAGCAAGGCAAAATATGCCGAAGTTGGCTGAGATGAGGACAAATGAAAGAAGCCTAAATCAGATAAAACAAAATTGTGTAGCGCTTTTGAACTCATTAATGTTCATTTACTAAATATTTATTGAACACGTACTATGTGCCTACTATTCTAGGAGTAATGATAAAATCGTGAACATTGCATACTAAGTACAAAAATTTAGTAGAAAACATACTAAACAATTATGAAAGGTCCAACCTAAAAGTTGTAAGGTTTGTGGTAGAAAATAATAGAAAAATAGGAGTAGAAACAGCATTTAAGGTTGCTGTAAGAAGACTTTTGTAATTTCATTGATTTCCAGGTATTATTGATTCAAAAAATACACATGCACACACTCTCCTCTATAGATATATTCCAAATAATTTAAAATTTTTATATCAAGGAAAAGGAAAAGTCCTAACAGTATTTAGGCAGAAAAAAGAAGTGATCTATATTGGAACAAAATTCAAATAGGCCTCATACTTCTTTCTATTACTAATGCCAGAGACTGTCAGGTCATTGTTCCTCATTTGTTGCCTTATGTGATAGTATTATAATTTCTTTATGTTAGTAAATGGCAGCCCTTCTTTTTAGACCCTTAATTTTCTTCTTGGAAAAATATCTGAGTATATGGATTTTGTTACAAGAAGATACTTTATTCCTTCCTGCATTAAAGTTGCTTTAATAAGCATACAGACTCTGGTGTCTGTGATATGAATGGCATTTTCCAGGGCTTTATGGTATAGTGAAGCTTCTAGTGACTCTGAAGAATAAAAGATTGCCTTCCCAAGAATTCTGTGCCTATAAAGTTGCCACGTATATGTGAAGATGTTCAAAAATGCAAAGACTTGGAAAATAGGACACTTTGTCAGAAAACCTTTCAAAGATGCACTCTGGTTAAGTAAAACATGAATGCAAATCAGTCACTCAAATATGTATAAACCATACAAGTAAAGGACTGGTGGTAAACAGTAAAGTGAATTGAATATGTAAAAAAAATAAAATATTATAGCTCATTTATCTATAATTACAAATTAAATTCAACAGTCAAAGCCTGCTCTCAAAAATAAATATATTTAACAAAATGGTATAAGAAGAATCAGTGTCTATAACCTTAGATTAATTTAAATAGTTTAAGGTCACAATACTTTAAAAACTGGTTCTGGCATAAGAACAGATTAATAGCCTATACTTGACTAGGCTAGAGTCCACTAGAAAGGTCTGAAAGCACATATAGTATCTATATGTAAGAATGCTAAGATGTAACAGAGAACTAAAAATTTGTGGTAAAGGGTATTGGGAAAATTGGTTTAGTGTTTAGAAATTATATTAAATCTGGATTCCCTCACTATGTCATATATTAAAATAAATTACAAGTGAATAAATATTTAATGAAAGAAATTAAATCATTAAAATATCAAGATACATAAATGCAGATGGGTATTAACCATACTCGGGCTAAGTAAGGACTTTGAGCACAAAAGTAATAGACATAATTACAAAGGCCTATGTCAGTAAACTTGACTATGTAATTTATATTCAACAACAACAAAACTCTAAATAGTTAGTGATCACAATAAACTGGGGAAATGATTTGTAACAGAATTTGGCAACAAGTTGTCATCCATGAGAAAATATTAAACCCTAGTGGACCTGATCTCACTTACCAATTGATAGAAGAAAACATCTCATTGAATGCCAGAGAGGTTTTTTAAAATGATTTTATTTTGTTTTGGCAATGGATATAGAGTGAATATTCTGATACACTGCTGAAGGAAACTGTAACATGACGTTTTTTTGGATGTCAGGTTGTTAGTATATATTGGGAGCCTTTAACATTCATATGCTTTGAACCAATTATATCACTTATAGAATTTACTCTGTAGAAATAAAGATACAGATATTGAAGTATGTTCATTAACAGACTGTTAAACAGCCATCCATTAAAAATGGTAGTTTTAAAAATTAATAACAGTTTTAAATGTTGCTTATATAATACCAAGTTAAATAAGATGTCCAATATTACTACCATTTGAGAAAGATTTACCAGAAGAAAGTATACCAAAATATTAGCAAGGGTTAATTTTTAAAATGTCTTCTCTATACCCTATTTATATCCTTTATATTCTTTTTGTTTGTTCTGTAACGAGTTTATATTATTTTTATAAGTAGTTTGAATACATGTGAAATGTTAAATTCTTTCCACCGTCTTCTCTTAATTGCATGTGGTTTTCACTAAACAGTGAATTGGTTTAATATAGAAAACTTTATTTGTTCCACTTCATTGTTTAAGAAAATATATAAACCATATCGAGGAAGGCAGAGCAAGTTTTGAGGAGAGAAGATTTTCATTGTATTTCTGGAAGGATAAATAAAAGAATAAACATTTTATTTGACCCTTGTTAGCCATCTGCTTTATACAGTAAATTGTATTTATAAGATGCCAGAGAAAAATAACTAATAATTTATTCAAGGTGTTATAAATGTGCCAGTTACACATTTAAATTTGTAGTTATATCATTGGACAGTTTTGAACTAAGATCTTTTATAAAATCAAAGTTTTAACATTTAGGATGAAATGAAAGAAATGTATGTGGGAGTCTTTCAGTTAGAGTAGAATATAAGATGGAACACTACCTGGAACAATATTCATTTGAGATGTGCGCAGTTTTTCTCTATTCCTGGAAGGTACCCCTTTCTTTGTGTTGTGAGAAAAGCAAGAGGAGGTTCCTGATAGGGTCTGTTCTTTCAGTTATGCTGTAGGTAGACTGCTAGCTAGCACCATTTGAAAAGGAGCAGGGTAAGAACATGATATCCATGTATTATGGGAGAGCAGCATACATAAAAGAGTCACCTTTGGACTACGTGGGATAATATTCTGGCTGATAATCTCCTACATTACTTAAAATTGGCAGTTCTTCCTTCTCAATAATACTTGGAAGAAGAAGTTTCTTTAAGTCAGAAGAGCCCTTAATGTACAAATAAGTTCTACCCTATATGTACATGTAAGTCGTCTGTACCCTACAATCCTATTCCTTCATTAAAAACAAAAACACAATACCTTTAAGAAGTATCTTTTCCCTCCATAATTTATAGCACTTGCCTGGTATTGTGTCCAATTTTAAAGTCTTTGTTTTGATGTAAGGACAAACATTACAAGATCTGATCTGAAAGTGTCCCCACTTAGAGTAAAAAAGAACAGGCCTGAGTCATTCAGAAGGCTTTCATATAAATGTGGGCTTCGAAGAATTTATATTAATTATTTTGCCAAAAGCTTTTTTATTCCTTTTATAGACCAGAATTGGATACAAGTTATTTAGTTCAGTGGTACTTAGTTCTTAGCATTTCCATTTCCTTTCTAGCCCTTATTTTCTTTCCTCCCAACCAAAAACAACAAAAAAGATTTTCATGTTTTGTTTTAAAGCAGATAAATAAGGGCAGGATGAAGGTATTTGGTGATGGAATGTTTATCCCACTTTGGATTTGCAATGACCATCAATAGGGATGAGCTGGTGAAAACTAGATATGTTTTTTAGGAAAAGGTAAGTAAAGGGACATGACTTGGAGGAAGCATTCTGCTACCAGCAACTACTGTGTATTGGTGAAGCCCTTTCTTGGTCTTAGAAGGCCAATTAAAATGTGTCTCTGGATTTCAGAGGGCAGTACAGATGACAGTCTTTGTCACTCTTCCTGGCACTTTTGAGTATCCTCAAGACATTGACACTTCTGATTCATGATCTATGCATATTTTGTCACCATATCTGCTCTTTGCTCCACACCCTCTCCCTTTCTCTTTTTCCTTCCTTGACAATGTTTGTGGGGTGGTAAGAAAGAATTTTGGAACCAAGAAATGAGGGGCGGCAGGGGAGAGGAAGATGATCTATTTTTGACACTCTGGCTTCTTGCTACTCTGTCCCAGAATATACCCCCAGGCAATTGGAATCCCTAGTCGGAAAAACACTGGAGAATGACTTTCCTTCTGCTTCTTTTCCTTTGCAGGAAACACATGAAATTGTGGCAATCAAGAAATTCAAGGACAGTGAAGGTAGATATATATATATATATGTATATGTATATATGTATTTTTCCTTCTGTATTACGTTTTTATAAATAGAGTGTGGAAGAAGTGGCACCTAGCTGGTTACACACTGTCTATTCCTGATATTTTGAAGTCACGGTCTCAGAAAGTGAATATAGCTTATTTATTATCATGCTTTGCTTTCAAACATTTAGTTCCTTCTATGTGAATCTTTTCAAATCTCATATTAGAAAATTTATTTTTTTATTTTAAGGTACAGTCAGCATTGGAAATCTTGCTCCAAAGTCTGGTTAGAAGGCATGTTGTTTATGCTGTTTCTAAATATTATTAAAATTAAAAAACTGACTTGAAGTAAATACTTTTGTGGGTCCACTCAAATAGCAAGTACTGTGTGAAAGATTTCAGTATTGGTTACTGTGATCTCCAGCTCCTAGTCAGAGTTAGAAATACAAAGATAAGTGACACAATATTGAGGGATTGATTTTATATTTAGAATAATGCAGTGGAAGAATAAAAGGTTTTTAAGAAGAAATACTATGCTTAGGGGCCTTTATCACATCCAGACCATTTCAAACAGAGTTGTAAAATTACCCCATGCTGGGCAAGAAAGTTTAAAATAATGCATTTCAGTAGTTCATTTGTTTTAAAATCTAGACTGTTGGCCATCCAAAGATAGCCAAATAGAGAAACCAATGACAAAAATAGATACGGCCTTTAAGGTGCTCCAGACAACATTTTTTTCAGACGTTCTGGACTGAGACCCACAGTAGAAATATATTTTACATCCTAACCCAGTGTCTACACACATATGTAACACTATATGTAAATGAAGCAAAAATGTCACAAACTTCTTTATTATATGAGTGTGAAGCAATCTACTTTCTGTTCTTTCTTGTTCATAAAAATGCCTACTGTGACATCAAATAGATTGATTACACCACTAATAAGTCAAAGCCTGCTATTGGAAAAACTGTGGTCCAAAAGTAGGAAGTACCAACATAGCATCAATCTTCATATCTAATCAGAAGTATGGAAATAGCAGTCATAGCTTACCTTCTTTAGCACACATTCCCTAAGTGATGTAAGACACCCGCCTCTATATTTATGAACAGTTTCATCACCCTCACCTCAGAGACTTAGCAGACATTAAATAACAAAAAGGGACTTGCTCCAGGATATATGCAGCAGTATTTGATGTAACCCATCTCTGATGTGCTCCTTATTGGAACACATGCATATTGGCTGGGAACTTTAGCAGTCATTGTATGGGTAGGCTTAAAGGGAAGGTAAAAAAGAACTTTTTGCTTGTTCTGGGGGGCAAAAAAGAATCTTGCTTCAAATGGGATACTTGTGGTCTAGCAGGAAGCAGTAGCCCCAGGCCATCCCGCTGTGAAACCATTGGAAATGAACTCTTTGAGCAGTGACTTTGGGTCAACAGGTGGCTGAGAGACAAATGGTGATCTCCTAAAAAGAATAGTTGCAACAGTAGATCAAAGCACAACCTTTGCATGCATGTAAAGGCTTCTGGCTGTGCATTCATCTTTCAGGGCATATTGGCAAGCTTCAGTTACAACCAAAAATAATAACTGTCAAATTTTGTAAAAAGTACAATCTAGGCCATGTATGCTATCATTTTTGTTTGCTTTGAGACAGGGTCTCACACTGTCACTCAGGCTGGAGTGTAGTGGCATGATCGTGGCTCATTGCAACCTCCACTTCCCGGGCTCAAGCAATTCTACAGTGTCAGCCTCCTGAATAGCTGGGATTACAGGCATGCATCACCACACCCAGCGAATTTTTTTGTATTTTATTTGTAGAGACGGGGTTTCGCCGTGTTGCCCAGGCTGATCTCAAACTGCTGAGGTCAAAGCGATCTGCCCACCTTGGCCTCCCAAAGTGCTGGGATTACAGGCATGAGCCACCTTTTCCAGCCCCCATTACTTTCTTTTTTAAGTAAATACTATTTTCTTCACAATCTCTATCCTGTGCATACCAATTCTTAGTTTCGATTATATATTTTTGCATGTGTTATACCTTTATAATGGAAATCTAGTGTATCCATTGAAATTCATTGAACACTGAGCGAAGCGCTGTGAGTTCAGGTGTGGATACTTTCTTTTTTTTTCTTCCATTTTTTTAATTGCATTTTAGGTTTTGGGGTACATGTGAAGAACATGCAAGATTGTTGCATAGGTACACACGTGGCAGTATGATTTGCTGCCTTCCTCCCCATCACCTATATCTGACACAAGAGCAGAAAATCAAACACCACACGTTCTCACTCATAGGCAGGCGTTGAACAATGAGGTGTGGATACTTTCAAGAGCGTATGACCTATATAGGAGAATTAATACCTGTATAAATAACAATAAAACACAGTAGAAAGCAGTTATTGTCTGAATGGAGATATGGAACTTGGATCATTTTGAAGTGAGAGAAACTGTTTCTAGATGTGGTATTGGGAGTGCGTGATAGTCTAGACATGGAAAACGTTTAATCTGCCCTTATTTTATTGAACCAACAAAACATTAATCTGCTCTGCCCTCATCTCTGCCAGACCATTATCACTCACCATCCCTCAGAGGCATGCAGCCTTATCATCCACCCCACCTTGTCAATGACACCTACCTACTGCCTACACATACTTCTAGAGGGACACTTCTAAAACATTTCTATGCTAGAACCTGAAGACATATCCAGTTATTCATAAGCTTTTTCATTCCAGTCCAGCTCCTTTCCTACTGTTTACACTTCTCTCTTCTGTTTACTAGTACTCTCTTTTCTGTCTTTACCCTTCTCCTTCTGCTGGAGTAGTGTCTTGCTTAATGGAAAGAAAGGGTATATGTTTGGTGAACAACTCTTTTGGAGTGTGAAGTGTACATAGATAGTCTTATTCAGGTAAGGATGTCTATTCAACCCCTATGTAAACCACTTAATTCTCAATCAGTTTATTATCTTAAATTTTTGCCATTTATAATAAAAAATAGAGTGTTATGATAACATTGCCTTCATTGTCATGTAGCTCTTATTAATCCCTTTATTAGTTATTCTCAAAATATTATTTTGATTATTATGGCAGTGATTATCTAGATCTAATGATTAAAAGTCTTAGTGAAGATAATGAAATAATCCTGTAAAAATATTGTTAACTGAAATAGGATCTGCACTTGGTCTGATCCATGTTCAAGTTAATCCAGTACAGATGCTCCTTGTTGACTTGTGATGAGGCCACATCCCAATAAACCCATCATAAGTGGAAAAACTTCTTATGTACAGAATGCTTTGGCTGGGTGTGGTGGCTCACACTTGTAATCACAGCACTTTGGGAAGCCAAGGCAGGAGGATCGCTTGAGCCCAGGAGTTTGAGACCAGCCTGGGCAACATGGTGAGACCCTGTCTCTACAAAAAATTTTTTTAAAAATTAGCCTGGCATTGTGGTGCATGCCTGTAGTCCTAGCTACTCAGTAGGCTGATGTAAAAGGATTGCTTAAGCCCAGAAGGTTGAGGCTACAGGGAGCTGTGATCATGCCACTGCACTCCAGCCTAGGTGACAGAGTGAGACCCTGTCTCAAAAAAAGCCTTTACTACACCCAACTTACCATACATCCTAGCTTTAGCCTAGCCTCCTTTAAACGTGCTCAGAATACTTACATTAGCCTATAGTTGGGCAAAATCATATAACAAAGCCTATTTTATAGTAAGGTGTTGAATATCTCGTGTAATTTATTGAATACTATAGCGAAAGTGAAAACCAGAATGATTTTACGGATATTTGAAGTATGGTTTCTCCTGAACGCATATGGCTTTCACACCATCGTAAAGTCAAAAAATTGAAGTTAAACCATTGTAAACTGGTGACCATCTATTCTCTCACTGATAACATGGAATATTTTGTGAGAGTACATGTTAACTTCTGGTAGCTTTAAAAGATTATGCTAATGTCCTACTTTCTTGTTAAAGTCATATGTTCACAAATTTGTGTAAAATGTTTATGAAACTATATTTTGTTAGCCTACTATTTAGTTCAATAAGTCCTTATTATCCCAGGATGATAGATCACTATTTAAAATGGGAACCAAAATTTCATAGTAAATAAACGTTTATATTGGGACTTTAAATGGGTAAAATGAAACTAAAATTGTGAAAATAAGTTTATGGTTAACACAATTTAGGTTATAATAGCGACTAATATGCTATTTCAAGAAACAATCAAGTGTTAACCTTTTTGGGAGGAGGAGCAGTTTTTACAGTAAAATTGTAGGCTAGGCCAATGAATAGCTTCTACAGTAAAGAGGGTCATTAAGAAATATACAAAAAGCTTTGTCAATTTTCTTCTTTTTTCCTTTTTTTATTCCTGTCTATGTGTTTTCTTCTTTTTTAGGGTGTGTGTGTGTGTGTGTGAGAGAGAGAGAGAGAGAGAGAGAGAGAGAGAGAGAGAGAGAGAGAGAGAGAGAGAGAGAGAGAAACAGGGTCTTGCTCTGTATCCCAGGATAGAGTGCAGTAGCATGGTCATGGCTCAGTGCAGCCTTGAACTCCTGAGCTCAAGCAATCTTCCTGCCTCAGCCTCCCAAAGTAGCTGGGACTACAGGTGCACAACATAACTCCCAGCTAATTTTTTCGTTTTTTGTAGAGATGAGGTCTCACTGTGTTGCTCAGACTGGTCTTGGACTCCTGGGCTCAAGAGATCCTTCTGCCTCAGCCTCTCAAAGTGCTGGGATTACAGTCATGAGCCACCAAGCCTTGCCTTTTCAAGGTTTTTATTCTCTAATTGTTAGCAGATATAATTCTATCGATAATTTATCAGCGTCTTTGCCTGTGATTCTCCCATAAAGACTTTAACACCCTGACTTGGGGATATAGACTCCTGTTAAAAGGGAAGAATGTTTGAGTGATGACAAATTTTTGTTTGAGCTTACTTCATTAGTTAAGTCTTTCTTATTTTGATGAATTCTGCTCGTTGACACTTTATCATAAATTTGGGGTCTCAGATAACGAGGTTTTTTTTT